TTTCTATTAGCTTATTAAGCTTTTTTTAGTCCTTACTCTAATTCTACTACCACAATAAATTACTGCAGATAGGATCACAGTCTCTGCAAAACTTATAAAAGATATGCAGCATTTTGCTTCAAGAATTGAATGATCTAATGTATAATTTACCTAAGCTCCCCAAGATGGTTCCTACTTCTTGCCCATAATTTCTCTTTGTGTAAAAAAGTTCAAAATACCAGGAGTTGACTCATTTATACAAACACAATCCTCTTACTGCAGCCAGGTTTCTGTGACACACAATTAATCTAATTATCGCAAATAAAGGCATTACCTAATGTTCAATAAATATTAAACTGGTTACATTTCTTGCTTAGTTAGAGAAGTGTTAATATTTCTGACATTTAAGATGTATTTCTCTCATATTATTTTCTTACCTATTTGCAGAGCTTCCTGGGTTCTCCTAACTGATCGTTCTTTTTCACAAATGACCTTAAAATGAATGAATGTTTCTGGAAAAAAAAAAACAAGCATTCCAACTGACTTGGCACCAGTGTATTTAAGCTTCTTGACCCAGGTTTGAGTAGAGAAAATTAATAATAAATTTAATCTTGTGTACCCATACAGAGCCAAAATATTTTTTTTTTTATTTATTTTTTTTTGGAAAAACCTTTGGCCCTGAAAAAAAAAAACCTTTTTCGAACTCAATCAAGTTGTATTATTGTACCAACCTAGAAAAAAAATGTAACTTTGTCTCAAAATTCCCCAATGTAATATTATTAATGCCCCTGGTGAATGTATATAATACACCTCACTGGAATTATATATGTTTTTTAATGCACATTAAACCCCTGCTACTGTAATTTTATATATTTTTTTATTGTTTTCTTTCACACTGTTGCCCAAACAACCTTGTGCTGTGCAACTGATTCTGTTAATAGCTTCAAGATTAGAACCAATTCTCAAACAGCTGCAAAAACCTTTATCCTTCACTAGAGGATGAAGGGCAACTGCTGCTCAAGGTTGTGGTTATACCAGAGCAATGCATCATTATTACAAAATTAATTACTTTTGTCTTTTACTTCAGCACCCTCAGCAATAGTGTTCTAACTGGATTCATAGGCACTGTGTTTTGAACAGTTATGTATAAATGTACATCATGCTTTAGCTGAACATTAATTTCTGTACCTACATTTATTTTACAACTCTCGGTTACTTTTGAGTCTTTGAAAGATGTCAGGAAGGAGCAGAAATAGAGCAAGAAGCAGGCCGCTGGGACGAAGTGTTGTTTACAGACAGTGACAGGGATAAAGGACCTTTGCGTTCTGGTGCTGGGCCCCACAGCCTCAGGGGTGAGCTAGTGCTGCTTCTGTGGCTGATCTGGGAGCTACAGCATCATCAGCCACAGAGACAGACACACACATGTTCACACACATAGATAAAAAAAAAAAAAATGCAAGTCCATGCAGGCCTGAAAAATTATTTGCACACACATGCAGGAAGCCTGGCAGTTTTCTGTCTGCACTTCTATTTTCCAAGGAATACCCCATTTCTGTTTATTCAACCAACACTTATTTAAACTAGTTCTGCAGCAGTGGGGACATTGCTTAATAGTAGTGTACCAAAAACCATAAAATATGGGGTTGTATAAAAAGTTTGCTTACCATTTACACTCAACATTTATCTCGGTTACTATGCTCGGACCAATCTCGTAGTGTAAATGGGGCTATTGAAGCTAACCTTTCTCACCGGGGTTCTTTGAAAATGGCAAAGGGTCGTAAGAGAAAAAGTGTCTACAAAGTGTATGAGAAGAAAAGAAAGACCTCAGAAGAGGCAGATATATCCTGGTATTCTTTGCCCAGAGAGCTCTCCTCACAAAAAACATTCACTGCCACAGCGGCCCGCTGTCGCTGCCCAACAGCAGCGACTAATAATAAAGGTGCCGCAGGCACCACGCAGTGAGGAGGAATTACATGACCAACAGGGAGCAAAAAGAGCGGGTAAAAGGTTGTGCATGTTCTTTTTTTTTTTATTTGAAGGGGCACAAAATTCCTCCACAATACCTCCAAATGTGGTAATGTGTTGGTCTATGACAGCTTTTCTGGTCCTTGAATATTTGCTTTCCCGAATTCTGCTCTTTACCATAAAATCCTGATGGAGTATTTACCAACCATCAGTATGCAACCAAACTTTTTATAATAAATAACACCATAAAACATATCTGAACATTATGTTTTCTTTCATGCATATTCTTTTGAGATATAACACGTGTCACAAAAAAGGTTTTGCATGTTACTATTCTTGTTTTTCCAGCAATATCAATCCTGGAATACATCTACAAAACTATAAAAGTAATCGAAAAAGAGATTTATGAAACTAGTGTAAACCTGAAAAAGCAGAGAGTTTTCAGATTTGTGCAAAGCAAAAGGTGAGCTAGAAAAAAAAAAACAGCCATATTGCAATATTGACAAATTCTGTTTAATATTGTGTGATACTCTTCTCTTAAAATACAGTCTTTTCTGAGGTAGACTATTACAGTTTAAGAACATCATTATCATTTCAAAACAGACATCAAATAAAAAGACATGAAATAAATACTTTCATGTACAATATGCTGCAAAATGAGGTAGAAATGGTTACATAATGTACAATAACCAAAAGCACAAGAGCAAAGTTAATGCAGTGGGCAGATTTAAAATGGACAAATTAAATGCTTTTTTGTTGGACAAACTGTTAGCAAAGAGAAGGAGATTTAATTCCTGTATAGTAGGTTATCCAAGCAATGTTGCTTGAGGCAGAACTGTTTTGGCGTATTTTTTTTTTTTTTAGCTGAAACAGTGGGAGTCATGTTGATTGATATGGCTGTACGGCAAGACTGAATCCACCAGCTGGTTAGGGAAGGCTGCTTTACAATATAGGATTGCTGGGCATCAATCAGTCCACTTCCACTCCGGAGAAATCAGAATAAGGGAAGAATAAGAGAAAGAGTAGGGGGTTGGGGAGCAGATTCAACACCACATGGTCACAGGAGCTTGTGGCCAGGGGCAATCCAGTCAAATGAGATTACATTCGGGGAGAAAGAAAGAGAATGATGAGCAAGGAAAGACAGAGGGTGGGAGGGAAGGAACGAATGTGACATATTACATCATCCTGAAACATACAAACCCTTCGCCATTAACTAGGTTTTTCCAGCTTCTAGAAGGAATGCTGTAGAAAGAGATATATTGCTGAATTGTCTATTCTGTGGCTTAATCCACACATTAGTACGTAAATATTCAACACCCACAAGTAAATTCTTAGTCTAAACTATTGGTTTGGGGTTAATGTTTCTATCCTTTTTAATTAAGCTAAGGGCTGAAATACTGACTGTAAGTGAAGTACTGTTGGTTCTTGGTTTAATTTTCGATGTAGAAATAAAATACTGAAACAATGAAAGCAGCAGACCTAATGCTGAGGTCAGAGTTCCTAGCATCATTGGTAAAGATGTGTAAAAAAAAAAACTTACAGTGACAAGATGCTTTGAAATCCAGAAGAAATCCTAACTGAACATAAGGAGAGAAAAAAGTCACACATTCAACAATATTAGAAAAATATTGCATGTGGTACTGTTGTTGGTTTCACTGCTGGCAATAGTTGGTGCCACTGCCGTTTGACCACAGAAAAAATATATTTGGCATTTGCTATAGTTTTTCAATTGAAATGTATAGCATTTACAAATTGGGCATAAACTGAAAGGAAACAAGCCAAAAACAGATTTCTAATAGGATTGCCCCGCATGTTATGCAATGCCAGACCAGAGTTGATAAAGGACAACTCCAGGTTAAAACTGGGACCCATATGGGCCCTTAGATATATAACCCAGTTTGCATTGATTATCCAGTTTGAGTTTGATTTAGGCAGCATGATTTGTATTTAATCAAACCTAGTTGGTCCAATGTGAGCAACTACTTAGAAAATGATTGGGTTGAGCAAAATCCTTTTTTGGCGTGTACATCCACATTTTGGATAGGTTTTAAACTTGGACTGCTATCTACAACTTAACACTAATGAACAAATGTTCTCAAATTAATGTGTGTAACTTTATGCTACTGGAAAAATACGTTTTGGGGGTTTAAGGTTTTTTACACATCTTTACCAGGAGTACTAAAAACCATACCAGTGTGTGTTGGTTTTTGACAAGATAGGAAAATATTAAAGAAAGCATTTCCAAGATTTTGGAGCAGTTTGTCTAACAAAAGAACTATTTTCTGTTATCTACTTTTCTCAAAGACAATCATCACTTCACCATATACTACAATAAAAATAAACCATAGAAGAACTGAAATAAACAAAACATGTTTTATATATTCATATATATATTTATATAGTAATACATGGATTTATGGCATCAAATATCCTTTGAAATACCTGAATTACATTCATTGTTACTCTTTGTAGAATATTCAAGTTTCTCTGCTGAGGTACAAGCCCAGCCGCAGTGAGTTTTTCACAAGACTGTCACGGTCCTCCTCACTCCTCTATCTCATTCTCCTCTAAGACCCTAAGATTACATACATTCTTTATTTCATATTTCTGAGGTAAAGAAATTCTTCCTGAGCATTTCAAACAACATTTCATCATACAAGCAAAAAGGACGAAGAGAGGCAGGAAAATAAAAAGGTTGGGGGACAAAGGTGAATGTGCAGGTTTTGTTTTGTGGGTGAGAAAATGTACCTGTTCAGGAATGTGAATCATAAAACAGGTAGTGGGTTAACTGTACCATAATGTAAGCACAGTACATTTGGTGACTAGATGAGGGAGCATAAGAAGCTGTTCTGCAACAAAACATAAAAACATTGGAATACAACAACTGTATTCAAGGACAAAGCAGCTCTAGAGTCACTTCTCCTGTGCTTGCTTTCTCAGAGAAGGTTTTTTGCGTCATAGTTTGGTAAAAATCTACTGTGAACATTAACATGCTGTCACCTTTACTTTGTTAAGATGGGTCTGTTTAAAGAAATTATCAGTGCTTTACTTATCTATTTGGTTTTCCATGTTTTTGGTAAAAAAAAAAAAAAAAGGTTGCAGAAGTGTTACTAATCCTAAGCCCTTTGCACAACGATCCTGTTACTACATCCTTTGACTGTACAATAACATGGCGGTGGATTGGTAATAAATAGAAACCTGAGAGTAACAGCCAAATGGGGGATTTTTCCAAAACCTGATTATCCATAATCTTGAATCTAGCAACAAATTACAGATTTTTTTCCTAGACCAAGGCTAATCAGGATCTTGGAGAGAATCTAAATACCTCTCAGATTTTCCCCGTTGGCTAAAGAAGTATTACACCTTCACCTCACTTTATCTTTGGGAAAACATCAAATATTGTCAGTCTTCTGGGCAAAACAAACGGTACACCATGTCAGGTTCCTGCCAGTGAAATTACTTTCTCAGCACTACCCCTACCCTCAAGATTCTCTGGATCTTCTGGCTGCATAATCAGTAATAAAGAAATAACAGCAAAATATACCCAAGGCTTTAAATGCCAATGCAAAAACAGAATTGTAGTGCAGTCCAAGTACTGTGACTAGCTGCTTTCTCAGTGGCTATACATTTTGCTCCACTCTATACAAGTATCCAAGTCCTTTGTGGTGGTGTGTGGACGCACCTTGCAAAAGGCATTCTCAAAATCTGTAAAGTTCAGAGGCTTTGGGGAGTTGGTGAGTCTATGCATGGCTCCAGGTGGGGAGGACGATGAGGAAAGCACTTGCTGGCTGAGCTGCAGCAGCTCCCACACTGAGAAGCCTTCGGTGCGCTGCAGTACAGCATTTAGCTCCCTCTCTGACAGGTTGAAGCCCTGCAGTGCCTGCAGCAGCACATGTTGACGAGTCGCTACATCTGGGAGGCCAACGTAATACTTCTTGGCAAAGCTTCGGTGAACCGCGTCCTGCAGGAGATCGGGCCTTCCGGTGGTGCACACAAGAATAACCAAACCTGTGGAGCCAACCCGGACTTTCTCTAGAGTTGTTAGCAGTATCTGCATCAGCCCCTCCTCCTCCATCGCCTCAACTTGACTGAGCAGTATCACCGAGGCTTGCTGTGCCCCTGCCACCTGCAGTAGAGAACCTAAAATGCGCTCTGCCTCAAGCTTTCCCTTTGAGGCCAGCATTGGTCCGCTCACAGTGTAGAAGGAAGCCCCCATCTGGGAGGCCAGCGAACGACTTAGTGTCTTCTTACCCCCTCCTCTGGGACCAAACAGCAGGAGAGTTCTGGGTGGCCGGATCACAGGACTTGGCCTTAATACGGGCCAAAGCAGGTCCTCCTCCAGGGCAGACTTGACATGATTGAGCCCAAACAGTTCAGTCCAGAGCAGATCTGGACGGCAATCTAACAATTCTCCGTTGATGAGCTCCAGCAGTCGGGGGTCTGGGCTCTTTAAAGCTTCAGCAGATGCTGTACATAGCGAATTATGTTTCAGTGACTGAGGGCGTTGTTGCTGCTGGGTGAAGCCTTGCTCTGTTACCCCGTTCTCCCCTGTCACGCCTGCAGGTGGACTGTATTCTCCACCAGTCCCAAATTGAGGAGATACCAGTGGCTGGGAGGAGGGCTTGTTTGCCTTGAATGTTTGAGGATCTGTGCTGCCTGAACTGCTAAATCCATTTCCTCTGGACTCTGTTTTGTCATTCACACCGTAGGGAGAGGTTCCTCCAGCCTTCAAGGCATCATAGTTGTATTTCCTGTACCGTGACCTATCCCCGCTGTCATCCTCCTCTACTCCCATTTCAAATGCCTTCCTTTTTAACGTGACTCCACTCTCAGATACTCCAAGGTTGGAGCTCTGGTAGCTATATGAGCCTCCAACTACAGTGGGTCTTGTGGGGATGGGTGTCGGAGCTGGTAGACCAGAAGGGAGGTATGTTGTGGAAGGGTGACTGTAGCTTGTAGCAAGGCTAGTCTGGGGTGGGTATGTGCTTGGTGGGTAGTTATAAACAGCTGTGTTAGGGCTGTAGCTGGGCACCAAAGTGGCTGTGGGTTGCAAAGTGTGGAGGGAGGTGGGAGGAAGTGCTGCACTGGGCTGAGGACAGAACCCTGACGAAAGATAGGTGCCATTGTAGCTAGAGGGGTACTCAGTTGAACCACTGCAGGAGCTGCTGCCACTGTAGGCTGAGTCTGACAGATTGCTGTTGGCTACTGACACGCTGTTCGGCCCAGGGGGGGCTGCAGACGTGGCAGTCTTGGAGCCTGAAAGACTCTCATGGCCTCCAGAAGCAACCAAAGGATAGGAAGCATCAGCGTTGTGGGTCAGTGGCCACGGTTCCAGTTCCGTCTTCTGGCCATTAAGGCCCCCAAAAGGCCCCGGCTCTGGGTATGTTCCCACTGTGGGAGGTCGGTCATATGGAGAGTCTAGCACACCTGCATACTTCTCAGCATAGCGCTTCAAAAGGTTTGAGGCTGTGAGGGCAGAGATATCATCATTGGCCCAGGCATAGTTGTAGGAGCTGCGTCCACGGCTGGAGTAGATTTCCGCCTTGTGGGCTGGAGAGGAGGTGGTGGAGGTAACGTCCAGGTGCTGCTCAGGCCACTGGCTGAGGGGCTGGGCATGCTCTGGGTTCCAGTGCATCTTTAACAGGCCTAGAAAGACAAACAAGACATATTATTATGCATACAAATATTGCAAAAATGTTAATGCTCAATTCTATTTTTAGAGGATGGATGGATGGATGGATGGATGGATGGATGGATGGATGGATGGATGGATGGATGGATGGATGGATGGATGGATGGATGGATGGATNTGGATGGATGGATGGATGGATGGATGGATGGATGGATGGATGGATGGATGGATGGATGGATGGATGGATGGATGGATGGATGGATGGATGGACTTCATTTCACTAGGGTTAATCTTATTAAAAAACCATTAGCTGTACAGACACAATACAAGCATATGTTTGTTTTAATACAGGTTGTGAAATAGCAGTACATTGCACTTTGAGATTTGAAATCAAATGTAAAGTGCATGATAAATAAAATTCATTATTATTATTATTATTACATTGAGAAATCTGCTTGGAAATGGAATGACTTTTCTATTGGCTACATATTACAGCAACATTTTTCTCTCTTAATGTGCTGAGCTTTTAGCCTCTGTTGTAAAACATGCTGGATCTGAAAAAGGTTGAGCCGCTTTTGGAGTAAAGGATCTGTTCTCTGGAGGTACACAAAGAAACAGATATATATATATACAATAATGCTTACAATGGTCATTGTGCAAAGATTTCGTCTTTTTAAAACATGAAAAAAACAAAGCGAGGGGTGGACAAAAAGTGGATTAATTAAAAAATTCTATGATATAATGTAAATCAAAATATCAAATTTTTTAATGTTTTTTATTTTGTCTTGGACCACTACTCTGCACCAAACACTACAGGAATAACAGAAACCAGATTCAGCACATTCAAAAAAATAGTAGTTATAGATTAGAAATCCCTGGCACATCTCTGATAGGTGCATCTTTAGTATTTCTTTAATTATTTTATTTAAAGTGACATTTGATCAAAGCCTCCTCCTCTCAAAAAAACTTAAAACCAAGTAGTGAACCGTCAGAAAATGCATCTTTTCTCAGTGTGCCTGCCAAGTTTGGCAACACAGCAGTGTCAAATTTCCTAAAGTGGGAGGGGGAGCTAAAGGGGAGCCACAGGAAAACATAGGAAGCAGCAGAAAGAACGACCGAAAGTAAATCAGTTGTATGCATGTGTTGCTTTGCAGTTTCCCAGCCTATGACGGTGTACCGAAAAGACCCCTCAACTGTTCACCCTACCAGTAGCATCTGCAAGTCTCCCAGAGGAGCTATTGTTATCTCCTTGTCCATGTTGCTGTGAATGCCTGCTCTCCACCCCACACCCCCTCCTACCACCCACGGACCCACCCACCGTACATCAGCTCTTAGAATGGCTCGCTGGACACAAGGAGGAAAGTAAAGAAGGATGTGTGCGGTGTGTGTGTGTGCATGGACAGTTGTTTAGAGAGAGTTAGAAAGAGAAAGGGGGTGTACTGGAAGAGAAGCATAGTGAGCTATTCATCAGCACAGGCTCCTGTGGGAACACTGGAGGGGGAATGACTGCTCCTATGGCTGACTTAAGCAGGGTCCATGTCACTCGGAAAAAACAAACACATTTCTATAAATAATGTTTTCAATCGATGCATCTTTATTAGCTCTGCCTAGAAACAGAGAGATGGTTAAAAAATATCCTTCAGTTCCTTGCTAATATTTCTAGTTCCCCAGCTTTGGGTTAGGCTGGGCTAGCCCTGTGTTCTGCTCAAGCATTAGCTTGACATTCCACACATAGCTTGGCATTATCAAACTGTCACAATTTACCCCGCGGTGAGAAATACCCCTGGAAGGAATTGAGAGGTAAAAAGGAAAATGGCATAAGCCGTCATTGCTGCAGCTCTTTTGCTTTTCCTCCAGCAGCCGCCTGGTGATTCATTATTCATGGCTGTCTGTAGGTGCTGAACCAGGACTCTTATTGCTGTTTAAATCAAATCTCAATAGGCACAGCCTAAGATTTGGTTTCTCCTATCTCGCTGCTTAACTTTGACCTGGGTCTTTCCACACCTCCCCGTGTGTGTTTTCAGATTATGCCTGTTTATTCAGTCAGATGAGAGCAGCAGACCAGATGGCCGTTGGATTATCATGTCCTTCATATTCAAATCGACTGCCTTGAGTTCCCAATGGCAAAACCAGTTCAAGTGCTCTGCTAAGCTTTAGACAGCCCATACTGCTGCAAACCCACTGCAGCAAACTGTCACATTCTCACACAACTTCATTTGCCGTTGATACACTTCTCTGCAGTTTTTAGTTTTTCTTTTGAGGGGGTGTCTGACTTACAGGTTTTTGTCCAGGCCACAGAACCCATACATGTCCTCCAGGTCCTTCCCATCTGTAGTCAGACCAGTTTGTGAGGAGCCCCAATAATGGGGCCTGTGTGTGACAAAGATGGATGAGAGCCCAGGGGAGCTAATAAAACCTGCAGCGGGGAGGGAGGGATGGAAGAAGGCAGAGACAGAAGGAGAGGAGAACGAGTGGACAGCAGGCACTCTGTCCTTTCTGAGGGGACTATAGCAGACATTAGAGGACTCTGTAAAATGGGCTGACTGCTGTCTACTCCATCATCAGTGTAACACTAATACAGTGTTACATTACCCCCCAAGCCTGGCTCATGCTTACAGAAAAGAAAATTCACTATTATTATATTTTAAGTGTATTGTACTGCAACTCTGCACCATTCATCTTTGATGAACACAAAAGTATTTCGGCAGAGTTGAGCCCTTTCCATGTAATTAAATGCCGCCTTTTCGCAGATTCAGTTTTCTAGAGGAGAAAAGCCTGCAATGAACTGAGCGGGCTCTAATCTATGGTTCTGTCTACATCAGAGCCATCTCCCAGATTAATTCATTGGAGGGCTGGTAAGAAAGCTAAGATTAGAAGCAGGAAATCAGGACAACGTACGATGGCAGCAAACTCATTAGATCAACTTTGGTATATGCTTCAGTGCAATCAGAGATTCAGTAAATTACCAACAGAGAAAGGCAAACACAAAACTGGTAAATATTACTGCTTGGACTGCATTTTCTGCTGTAGTTACATCATCTTTTCCTACTACAAACTCATCAAGCTTCACCGACATGTCATGGGTTAGACATAAAAATGTGTATTAAGCATAGACAGAGGCATTATAGTTCTTGAGAAGGTCGGAATCCAGAATGTATGGGAACGGACTTTCTCTTTCACTAATAAATGTACTTTCACAATATGATCAAATTGAGTTTTAAAAAGTTATTTTTTAAATACTGTTTACTTTGGAATTATGAACAAATCTTTACTATATTGAGTGATGGTCCTCTTTGGCTGCAAGAGGACTGATAAGAACCTTCTGTCGATGCATGCAAAACTTTCCACTCTTTGTATGTGTTTTCTTGGCCCCAGGAGGGACAGATGTTCCTCTGCTGACCGCCTTACTGTCTGTGCGGCCTTTGTGGTGGACAACCGTCCAGCAGACGTGCATGGATCGAACAATTCAGTTGGCCCTGAGACAAAGCCGAAAGGATCCTATTGTCAGGGGCCTGTCTAATTATGGAAATCTTATTAATCTATTCAGGACCAGTTCACTGACAGCTTTTGTGTCAGCCTGGGATTTATTGAGGGACCTGAGTGAGCTGCATGAGCTGCATCCTACAGCAAGAGTATGAGATGAAGCAACTCTCTTTAACAATTTATCTTTAGGAGAGTTAAAAAAAATATATTAGTTTAATTCCAACTTCTTTCATGTTCAATCTGCTGTCTATATAGTCCCCAATCAACAGCTTATTGGACAAACATATGCAGTTTTTGTCCCATAAAGTAGGTATTACTCTCAACTCTGTTGTGATGTCCCATAAAACTATTATAGGTTTGAAGGAGAAAGTTATCTTGGCTTAAAGCTTTTAAATTGGAGGGACCCAGTAGTGTTTCATTGCCCCCCTGAGGTTACTTCGCCTTCTTCATTCCACTTGTATTTTCCATGCCTCGAGGAACCAAACAAACACAGATGCAACAAGCCTTCTGGGACTGTGCTCTATTAAAATGTGCCAATTGCAAAGGGGCTGCTTGTAAACGGCAGCACTTTAGATCAATTCAATCAGGGTCCTCTAGACTTTGAGCTGCACCTCCATCCAATGACAAAAGAAAACAACAACAAGGGCTCTATATCACATTTTTCCAACAAAACTCAGTAGTTAGCAGAATAAGTCTTAAAAAAAACAAGATGAAAATCAAGAAAATAAAGTATAAAACTGCTGCAGAATACCAAATAAAGAATTGATTAAACTATTATGCTTACTGGAAAAATAGAGTGCTAAATCTTTTTGTTTTAATCCAATAAAACGGTTTGATGTGTTTATTACCATATGATTTATAAATTCAGTTTGGAAAACCAAAAAAGGAAAGATTGTTTTTTTTTGTAAAACCTTTGACAATAAACAAAGTAAATACAAAAGGACCTCCCACAGAACAGGCCTGTTTCACCTTCACCATTGTTAAGTATCAACATCAGAATATTTTCTGTTTTTTATTGCAACGACAACAAATGCAGCACTGAAGAACCTGATTACTAATTTTCATTGCAATATTTTTGTTTTTATTCTCCATGTCATGAGTGGTATTTGATTATTTATATTAGAAGCAGGCGTATTGCTTTGGTTTACCATTATCTTTAAACTGACAAAATAATAACACTGTTAAACAATTTAAGTTGGCTTTAGAATATTAGATTTGATCAGCACAGCTTTAGCAATGGTACCCATAACAATTTACCTTAAATACAAACATTTCCTGATGTAGCAAGATTCATGACTGATAGGAACATAAAAGTCAAAACAATATAACTGTGCCGTTGTCTGTCTTATTTTCTTTCAACTTAACTAAGAAAGAAAATACCACACTATGATAAGAGGTAACAGCTATCTTACAAGAATATAAACTTTTAAACTTGAGAATGTTATGCAAAAATGAAAGCTTTGCCTAAAAATTTTTAAAGTTTAATTTGGAAAGGAGGAATCCTCTTGAGAAAAGAAGAAAAAGAACATAA